AATAAATTGATAATTTTGATATCAAATTTTTGATTTATTTCCATCATTTTTGTTGTATGTAAACAGAGACAACTGTCATTGTGTAAATGTCCTCCCTCTGCAAAAAGTTCCGATTTTTTTCAAGGAAGATAACTCTCACCCGTATCAAAATAATTGTAAAATGTAAAATTAATTAATTATAAAGCCATTGTGTATATTTTGTTAATTTCCCACTCTATATGTATAGATCTTTGTGTCCTGTTTGCTTTTAGCTTGTAGATAATCACTTTTATCTGTTCAAATTCAATAAAAAAAACACTTTGTGTAACATGTATTACATATTTTGCAATAAATAAAATATTTGTAGGGTTAATTTTAAATGCTTCTTTTCAGTTTTTTATTGTTGTTATTGTTCCAAACAATGCCACACAAAAAAAATAAAAAAAATATTAAAAGTGGCAAAAATTCAATTTTTTGGTATTTTTTCCAAAAAAGTCCCCAAACTATTGGAATGTTTAGATTTTCATAAAATTAACTCTATATAGTTGCATAACCATTATATTAAAGTTTCAACGAATTTTGCTGGTTAATTGCGAAAGTATGGAGCCACCTTAACCCTTTCACCCCTATGTAACTTTAGTAGACTCTACCATGTATTGATCGGGACGAGTCCATTATGGTCTACAATGGTGAAAGGGTTAATACTATTGATGTGTTTACTTACTCAGCAGTTCCACCTTCCCCTGGGTACGTATCACATAGAATGACACAGATATCCTAGAACTTTCCCCGTGGATAAAGGCAAATTTATTTCCAGTTGGCTCCCAAGCAAATGCCATCACATTTTCTGTAACAGAAATAAACCAATGATTCACCATTCAAATAGCAGTAAAACATAGACAGACTGTAATGGATATCTATACTCTAGAAATTTTCAAGATATATTTCTGAATTACTAAATCATTCAATCAGAGCAAACAACAGCAAGTCAAAACACTGAAATACCATTCTGTTCCTAGATATTATATACCTTATTAATATTTCTTTCACACACAGACTGAAGCATAACACTATTCAGAACAAAACACTTTTTATGTCACAAATTAAATCTGGCTTTAATGATATTATGGAATCATATGACAAATGCAATGTTTTCAATTTGGTTTGACTCTACTTTGAAACCAGCCTTTGTTTCTTCAATGTGACTGAAGACATCTGATGTCTAAATATTTAATATTTGGCAAAAACATTGTTTAAATCTATATAATCATATAAAACAACATGCAAAGAAATTTTCTGAAGATTATAAATGTCTTGTCAAGTGTTATATGTAATATGGGAGTTAAAACAACTTCACTGAGACTTACCTTTCACTTCTATTTTGTCCACTGGGATCTGTTTTTCTCGGATTCGGAACAATTCAAAATTGTAATACATACCCTGGATAAGAGAATAAAAGTTGGTCAGAGATAACTTCATCACAAAAATCATTTTAACTGTCATGATACCATGTCTCTCAAATAGTTACCTGAGTGAATGAGACAAGAGGTCCATGGTTTCAACAGTCACCTGATTGTAATTATACCCGACTAAATACACAATCTCACTAGAAATACATTAATGTGACACAGCATTCAATTTTGTTAAATGATACATACAACTGTATGTACATACTATATATATGACATATTAAATTAAAGACTGTTATTGATAGGCCTGTCACGACTTTTATTCAGATACAATGTACACGAATATTTATCTGATAAAAATCACTTGTCTTAAAGCTATGTCAGTTTGTGTGTGTAATGCCTACAGGAAATGTAGGCCTAAACAGTGACTAGGGCATACAAGGAACTGGTCATGTAACTAAGTAAGGGCAACATTTACATTTCTGGGCATGTAGGATCATTCAAGGTAACCAAGGTTCTATAAAATATAGTAGTGTTCAGACCTATAGATCATATCTCAGTGAGAAGCCACCTTGTGGTTTCTATGGTCATTTAGGTTCTCTTAACTCATTCACCCCTGAAATTTTATAATGAACTATTCCAACCTTTGAATTGGAAGAGCTTAAATGTGTCTTCAGGGGTGAATGGGTTAACCTATGTAGCCGTGTTTGGGGGTCATTGGCATAGTACATACCAAAGAGGAGAGAAATGACAAATTATCTAATAATCAGAAAGTCTGTGTAGGGTTTCAATGGCAGAACGGTTTCGAGAAACGTATGCGACAGTGTTCATAGTTCATATTATAGCTACATTGGCCTTCAAGGTCCCTTGAGTTGTAATACAACTGTTATTTGTGTTGTGATGTGACAAATTGGCTGTTTAATTGTGGCTTCGTTGAAAAAATGGTGTTTTGACGGGATCACCAATTTTTATACATAGCTGGTATTTGTCATAGAAGTCTTTATTAGTCTTCTCCAATCTCTAGTACACCAGTTACTAAATGTTAATTTTTAAGGATATACAAAGACCTTCAGAAAAATATCTTTTTGTTCAACTTATTTCATCTTTTTTGTTAAGTCCAAATGTTTTTACCATCAAATGATTATTATTCCAAAGGGAGTCCCTGAAAAAGTGCCTTCCATATGGTTACTAGGGAACAGTCCTAAGTAAAATATGACCAACAGACGTCAATTACACATTCAAACATATTTGATACACAACTTTGAATGAAGGTCAAGGTCATTTTTTCATGAGAAGAAGTTAAAAATGTCAGTTTATCATTACCATATTATGGACACAACAGAATAACTTCAAATCAAAGAGTTAACACTTACGCTATACTTGTATTGATCTTTCTCATCAACTTTCTTGGCTTTGGAGTAACGGTCTACCTTCACACACAGATAGTCACCATTTTTCTGCCAGTGCATTTTACAATCTGCCACATTGAACAAGTTTTTCACACACAGTTCCTTCCTGTTTGGTATCTGGATGAGTGTTACACGAGCCGGTACGTTCTGTTCCTCTGGCACCCAGTAGGCAATGATATTGTCAGTTGGGGACCATGTAAAATCTCTGTCAAATTAAAAAATACCAAATAACACTACTTGCTTAGTACTCAATTCTTCTGAAAATATTGTTTTATATAACATGAATACCCTTTTTTCAAACCCTGGTACATGGTTTGAGCAATTCATATTCCACATCATTTTGATGTTCTCTACATCATTATTCAATTCCCTGTATTCAATTCACAAGAAAAAAAGGTGAAAAATATGAGGATTCAAATTTTTAACTTCCTCATCATATCTTTGTTTGTGACTTTGTCTGGCTTCTAGCTATATATATAGTCACTATGTTCAGACTTCGGTACTCACCGAATACCACAGATCTTCAGACTTTTCTTCTCCAGCAGACCGAAGGACTACAAAATGCAATAATTCTCAATTGAGACATACTGTTTCATTAGCTTTATTCCCTTTCTTTCATTTTAATATAATTTCTAATAAAGGTTTAAATGCAATATAACATAGAAAGAGACTTTAGTTCAATTTTATAACAACAAACAGATCTGATGAACAGAGATTGTAACATACACCATTATATATGATTACTTACTGGCGTCTCATATACACTTAATGTATCTCGGCTGATTCTGGCAAAGTAGCTACCGTCATGACTCCATCTGAAAAATATTTTGTCAAGTTTTTACTTGTAATTCAACATTTCAAAAAATCATAAAAACTGGTGAACAAAATAACATGTTCTATTAATTGTTCATTTTATACCCTTGAAGCTTTATCAGATTAATACTCAAAACAGCAGAGTTTTTAATAAGACCCCAGACATTTTCCATGTGTACATACTTGAAAATAGGCCAGGTAGATTGTGTCTCGCAGTTAAACCCACGTTGTTTTTGCTCAGTTCGGATGTCCCAGATGATGATGGCTGTTGGATCCTCTGGGTTACTTGGCACAGGACTGAAGGTGACCAGGTACCTACACAACAGATATGATTTCATTATAACTACATGACCAAACATCAGGTAAAATGGTGATAAAGTACATACACAACAAATACAATGTACCTGTACAACAAACGATTATCATCTCTACACGACCAAATATCATGTAAAATGGTGGCAAGTTAAGTACTTATACAACAAACGATTATCATTTCTACACTACCAAATATCAGGTAAAATCTTGGCAAATTAAGTACTTATACAACAAACGATTATCATCTCTACACGACCAAATATCAGGTAAAATGGTGACAAGCAAGGTACTTATACAACAAACGATTATCATTTCTACACGACCAAATATCATGGAAAATGGTGGCAAGCTAGGTACTTGTACAACAAACGATTATCATCTTTACAAGACCAAATATCAGGTAAAATGATGACAAGCTAGGTACTTGTACAACAAACGATTATCATCTCTACACGACCAAATATCAGGTAAAATGGTGACAAGCTAGGTCCTTATACAACAAACGATTATCATCTCTACAGGACCAAATATCAGGTAAAATGGTGACAAGCTAGGTCCTTATACAACAAACGATTATCATCTCTACACGACCAAATATCAGGTAAAATGGTGACAAGCTAGGTACTTATATTATATATAAGCTCCTACAAATACAATAAACTCATAGAAGCTTTCAAATCTGGAACAAATCTTCCGATGACAGATCAGATTCTGGAGAAGACAAAAGCAGAAAGAGTTTGAGAGATGATGATAGTTATATCAACGAAGGGGCCACTGGCCGCAGCAAAAATGATAATCAATCAAATGTTTACTCACCTTTCACAGGGTGAGAAATCGATGAGCTGAACTCCAGTGTGACTAAACCTCATGATCCTGACAAACTTTTCGCCTCCCCAAAGGGCATTTCCTTTGCCGTGAAACGTGGCAAGAAACTTTCCCTGTGGGGACCAGCGCACGTATGTCTCTGTCCATCTCTGTGAAACAGAAAAATTGTACAATTTGAATGATCACTGATTAAATAAACTTTGTAATTTGTTATTGATGCAATTTGATTAGGAAGGTATCAATGAAGCAAACATAATTTGAAGAAAATATTAATTTGCAATAAAAGATTTAAAAGCAAAATTAGTAAACATGAACAAAATCTACTCATGTTTAGTACACCATGAAATTTGGATTTTTCCTCCTTAAGACACTTATATAAATCAAATGCTTAATACCTGTATAGTGTTTTAATAAGATTGGGAATCAGTTACACCTTTTAAAATATAGTTAATAACATAGTCAATGACATCGCATTGTTTTCAGACAAATAAAAGGCAAACTTGCATATACAAAATGATTTTCGTTAACTTTTATTGTAAAAAGAGAATCTAATACTGGAATGGGAAAGTCGTAGCTATTTTCTAACGTTTCGACAGCGAGTCGATTCCATGGTGTCTTTTCATATGATTTGACAAATTTGTGGCCATATCAGTTTTTCATATTTGGTTCAAAATCAAACTTCAGTGTATACTGTTACTAGTGCGTATAAAGTTTCATGAAAATCAAATAATTGCTTCAACAGATATTTCCAATTTGTTAAGAAACCATTTGAATGGCTGACATCAACAGAGTGATCCCTATATGCATCTCAACCATTGCTTTGCAGAAAATTATTATCAAGACTTTAAAGTACGTGGTTTTCTCAAACAAAGGTATAAATATCTATACACAGGGCCACTAACCACTTACTTCTCTCTCTTCTATCACTGTTGGCTCCCTGGGTGTGTTTTTAAATATGGCTGTCCGTTCTCCACCCTCATAAATTACACTGTATTGGTCAACAGCGTCTGGGTCTTGTAAGAAGCTTCTCAGGTTACCCTGTAATATTATAAAAGTATCCATGTTACCCTGTAATATAACAGTCCATTACATATTAAAGTATCCATGTTACCCTGTAATATAACAGTCCATTACATAAGTATCCACGTTACCCTGTAATATAACAGTCCATTATAGAAGTATCCACGCTACCCTGTAATATAACAGTCCATAATAGAAGTATCCACGCTACCCTGTAATATAACAGTCCATTACATAAGTATCCACGTTACCCTGTAATATAACAGTCCATTGTAGAAGTATCCATGTTACCCTGTAATATAACAGTCTATTATAGAAGTATCCATGTTATCCTGTAATATAACAGTCCATTATAGAAGGCTAGCAGTATGTAGATCTGTAGGCTGGTCACTTACCACATCTTTGAAAGGCTGAATTGTTGGAGCTACCCAATCCTCTGACAAATCACCATATCTGAAACATAACAGTTTTAATTATTGGTTATGCAATATATTCTTACAATCTTTTCAATAACCTTTGTTTTGAAAATATTTTCTTTTGAAATTGAAGAAATTTGTTTATTTACCATGAACTTTAAGATTCTTATTTTAGGACATTTTTCAATATTTCATTATTGTAATTCAACAAGACTTTCTATAACTCACCTGATAAAGTCTGAGAACAAATTGACAGAAAAGACGTGCTGCTTGTCTAGTTTATAACCATTTGCAGTTTTGACAGCTTCCATAGCATGCATGGGTGATGTGTACTCAAGAAAAATATATCTGCAAAGAAAGAATTCAATTCGCAAATAGGAGAAATATTTGTATAATATATGTTATAACATGTAGGAAAAAGTGTTAAGTGAATAAATATCAAACATATTAGTTTCAATGTGCTAAATTCTAGTTTAGGTAACACTTGTCCTCCAATAAATATAAGTTATTAGTGAGCAAGTGCAACACAAATTGTTCAGCACTTCAAAAAAAATTGGTGAACAGAAGAAATGTTCAAGTACTTACCCCTTAGTTTTGTCATTCTCCATAGGATAATATTCAGTGACAATTTTGCCAAATTTTGTGAATAGCTTGCTGATGACATTTTTCAGCTTTTCTTGTCTGTCTGCTCCAACCTGTGGGACATTATCCACTACAATGACACTGTCAATACCATCAGTTTCCTTTGGCTTGGCGCGCATCAAATCAACCAGGACCTCTGCAAGTCATAAAGAACTGTATACTGCTTCAATTTTTAAATCTTCTAAAATACATGTACTACACAGTTAATAAAGACAGAGTAGCAATGAAATATGTGGATATTAGCCTACTAGGACAACATATAATAATAACATATCAAAATTCTGAACATGTCTTTATTCATGGACTTCCTTTGTTTAGCTCCAGCGGAAGAAATTAAATAATTCATACTGCTGGCACCAAACTACATTCGAAAAGTCATAATAACATATCAGTATATTTTTTGACCTGCTCATAATAAAATACAGTACTATAACTGAATTCTAAAGCAGTCCAATAGATTATGTTTAGACTACCATGCAATCCCACTCATGCGTGCTAAACACGCTACTACATTTAAAGCAAATGTTTGAGTTATAGATAATTCTGTTTGTTATGAAAGGAATTGGGATCCACACACCACCAGAACATCCAACAGCTTAAGAAGTTATAGTGAAGAGTTACTTATTTGTGACAGCGAATTATTATGATCAAAGCATTAGCAGTACAATATCTATGGTCCGCAACCTAGAGTGGAAAAGGTTATTAGGATAAGACTAATTTACAAGATCAAGTGAAAGGTAGTTGCAATTCCAGCACAACTTTCAGACAGCCAGTGCCTGAAGCATGATGAAAGAACATATTTTCCAAGTCCTGCCAGGGGTCGACACTATTGGAAGACCGGAGGACCAAGTCCAATGTTTTGAGGACTGCCAGTCCAACACATATGGGGAGGGGGTGTAGGATTGCTGGCAAGCTGCATGTGCAAGGCTCTGATTAAAGCAACTCTTATTGGAAGAAGCTTATTCATTTGAGAATCTTGTATCTTTGCTAAGTTTGGCAGGTCCAGTAGTCTCTGCCAATTGAGCTATATAGATGTAAAGACCTAAAATAGCTCTATTGACCTATCTGAAATAGGCCTTATGAGCTATTTTCATGTGCTTTTCTAAGGAAGAAGAAACAAAGTCGCTATTAAAAGAAGTTTGTATCATTAGGTTAATAACAAAGGACAGTAAATATAAGTATATTCTTTTTAAGAAATAATGCATGTTTTTTGTAGGTACAATTCCCATAAACCTTATTATTTATTGCGACTTTGCTTTAATTCAATGAAAATTGAAATCTGAGAAAATATAGCGTAATACAGCTATAATTTATAGGTGAATATAGCTCAATCGGCAGTGTACTGGATCCGTTTGGTACCATATGGATAATTTGGTTAGTATCTTTAAAAGCTGAATTCATACATATCATATTTAATACAATATTGTTGCATAATGTAATCCTATGAATACAAGTATTTAATATTACCATAAGTTGTTATATGCTTATAATTTCCACATGAAATGGCACTGACAGTTGCCCTACAAGTTGATAAAACGTTCTACATCCGGTCTCCAACGAACGACATATCTATCGTGTTGTTTACTAAAATATGATTTTTTAAACCCCATTCGCTTTGGAGAAACATACAGCTATTCGATTTGTATCATCAGCCTTTAATCGTCACAGACCAATATAACAAAGATAGCGCAACGGAGGGATTATGCCGGGTGTTGCTCCAACCATATTGGATGGTATTCTGTTATCTTAGAAGATTCTAACCATCATTCGCTAAGTCATCTACAAAATCTTCTGGATCACTGAAGTCAGGTTCTTCTTCTTCTTCGTTTCGTGAACCATCGTGACTGTGTGAGTCCGATTTTCTATGTCTTCGCGACTCGTGGTCGCCTTTTTCAGCCGCCATCTTGAAAACCTCGTGTATTTTGCCGGTTTCGAATTGCGCATGTCCGACATTTCCCTATAAATATCCCAATCGGGAACCGTCGGCACTTTCCGTACAATCGGGAACCGTCGGCACTTTCCGTAAGCGTTTACGGAAAGTGCCGACGGTTCCCAAATGATAAATATCATGTGATTGATATCATAATATCATGTTATATCACACCCAGTATCAACCCGAGACTCCAATATCCTCCCGAGGAACGAAGGCCAGAAGGTTGATATTGGTCGAGGGTTGTAACTTGATGTGATATGGAAAAAGGCATGTTTTATTCTGTTTATTGCATACTTTTTTTTTATAAGATACGGATAGATGTTCTATCTTATCATGATCTATATTTCTTTTGAAATTTTGAAAAATCAGAAGAATTCCGAATGACGTTGTTGTAGGTAGATGGGAAAAACAGAAGTGTTCCAAAAGGGGTGTGATATGTGTTTTTCGGGCTGATACAAGAGGGCTGATACGGATTTAGGGGTGTGATACGGCGAGGGCTGGTATGGGTTAAAGCAATTGTGTCGTATCGCATATACATTTTTTCTTTAGTAAGTATGTAAAAATACATGACCGTATACCCCCTGAGATTTTCGTATACCCCCTGAGATTTACGAATGCGGTTTGTTATTACCCCTTTGAGAAAAATCTAGGAATCTGATTGGTTAAAAACTACAGTGTACCAAACCGCATTCGTAAATCTCAGGGGATATACGAAAATCTCAGGGGGTATACGGTCATGTCACGTGATTCTCAGCAGTAATACGGTGCAATCAAGTGATTTTACAAGGGGTATACGGGTCACCTGTCTTTGTATCTTGCGGCCGGGCATCGGGAGCCGACAACTCGCATTCGTCGTCTGCTTCGCTGTTTACAAAATGGCAAAACGTTTCGCTAAATGAGGTACTGTGCCTGTTATTTTTCTTCGCTTTTATTATAAAAGACTCAAAGGGGTAATAAATTCGTTACACGGATTTGGCAGGGATACCCTGCCAAAAATCCGTGTAACTAATAATACACTGTAATTTTTAACCAATCAGATACCTAGATTTTTCTCAAAGGGGTAATAAAGACAGTTATTCATATTTCTCTTGTTGCAGTTTTTTTATTTCATTAAAATGTGTTGATCACCAAATTTACAATTTGTATTGTATTGTTTCTGTGCGATTTCCCAACTTTTTTTCTAATATACATTTTCTATCGATGATCTTCGGTGAAAAATTGCTTGAAATTGAAGTTCGTAATTGATAATTGAAAAAAAAATGATCGCCCAAATGTATGTTCAAGTATATGATAAACAGAATAAAACATACATTCTCTATATATAAGGGTTATATACGATGCATATGATCATATAACTACAAAATATCCCTACATATTTTTTGGGGGGCGAAGGGAGGTAACTACACATCACATGACCTTATCAGGTAGGGCGCACGCCATCAAATATTTGCGTACTGATATTTTGAGGTAATCACACATAGTATGTAGGAGTGTTATTCATAATATTTGTGTATTTATCCTGATCTTTTAAAAGGAAAGTGTGTACATATTTTCAGACTTAGAGATAGGGATAAGGCAGTTTCTCATTGAAAAAAAATGTAGCAAAATGGTTGTTTTGAAATATAAATATCGCGGCTCAGTTTGTTAATTATTCTATCTTTTTAGAAACCCGAGTGTATGACGTTGTACCAGAGACCACAGGCATTTGTTTCTGTCAATGAAAATAGTCCTGACAAAAAAGCACACCCTACTCATAAAACATACCTTTTATGTCAGGACTATTTTCATTGACAGAAACAAATGCCTGTGGTCGCTGGTACAATGTCATACACTCGGGTTTCTAAAAAGATAATGTAGAATAATTAACAAACTGAGCCGCGATATATATATTTCAAAACAACCATTTTGCTACATTATTTTTCAATGAGAAACTGCCTTATCCCTATCTCTAAGTCTTCTCTAGGTCTTCAAATCCAGCAATAATTTTGAACGGGGATTTTTATCTTGTGTATATCTAATCATGTTTATGCTTATTGCCATTGTCGTCGTGTAATTGTTAATGTATATGATGGTAGAAGGCTGTGATACGTTGTAATAACTTGTGCCCAATCTTTTGTTCAAATTAATTGGCCAAACATATGTTTAAAGACATTAAGTTGTCAAAGGGAAGATTTGAAGATAAAGTATCCAGTTTCAATAGTTTGTGCAATTTTATCAGGTCTATTTTTGCATTCACTTTGAACAAACAACTACCATAAAATCTAACTGATAAGTCCTATTCCTTTAAATTCAATTTACATGCTTATTTGCAATTGCGTGTATATGTTTAAATTAGTGTTTAAGTGAAATAAAGTATTGCTTCAAAACAAAATTATTTTGTCCATTTGAGTGAAAAAGAACAAGAAATAAAATTAAACATAATGCAGGTAAATAGTTTTTACTTTAAAATGCGGTCCCAGAGTTTTGCGTAAAACTCGTAATAAACAGAAATAAAACTGTTTTGATTATTAGAATTTGTTTATATCACCCATGGCAAATAAAATAAGTAAACAAAATTCGGCGAATAAGTTAGAATTATATTAATTAATATTATTTTTAGATTTACATGTCGATTTTAATTAATTAATAATGAATTGGAGCCTCGAGGGCGAGGGGGGCTTGTTATTCATATATCAACTATTTTAAGTCCATGAAGGTAAAAAGACAAAATTGAAAAATATTTTGCATTACATTTACTTTTTTTTCAGTCAAGTAAACAAAAAAGCATTTATTTCACCATCCTTTATTTCACTGAAATGAAATAGCAGTTTTAATAATTAAATGAAGAAGATTTAACGGAAAATCGAAGCCCGTAGAAATTGAAATACGTTAATTGTCGTTAAGCTCTGAGTACTTTTACTTTAATTCAGTAAAACATATTTGTATTGATATCATTTTTTCATTAACATTTCATACTATCAATCATCATCAGATTTTTCTTCTTCTCTGTTTTAATCTTCAACATACAAACCTAAAAACCTGCCGTTTACTTTTCCATTACAATAATTGCTATCATGGTCATATTTCTCTTACAACGCTCGCGGCATTTGGTCTTTGGCAACTCCTGTTACATTTTCTCAAGCTGACATCTGACAGAAATGAAAACATTTAAACGGGTGTAATCAATATATATCCTATTATAATGTATACTTTTTTTTTGTTGCGCATACCTGATATCGACAGGACTTTTTCCTGACACAAGGAAGAAGCCATCACAGGTGGAAGTGCACGAACAACGAGTTACTTCCCTTCAGCTGTTGACAGCCCTTTCTCGCGATATACGTTATTTCTAATTTAGGTGCTAATTAATGCATTACATGAATACTTAATCTGTTTCACCATGTCAATTACTGCAAGGTCGTAATACATGGCCCTATTGGAAATAAGCCTTGCAAGGGCCAAATATGAATAATTGACAGCAATTTTCCGAACAGGCTATTTACTGTGTATATCAGCTGTTTTGTCTGTGTATGCCTTTTACTTAACAAAGAAATATTATCATTTTATTATTACATGTCCTAACATCTTATGTAATTATAATCGGAAATGCTTTTTGTTCCAATTTAGAAGAAGAAAAAATCTGCTCTCTATACGGTAAACTACCAGTCTAGCCGCCCGTTTCTGCCTCATGAATTCTATTTGTTTATTTGTTTTTTCTAATTGTTTTTCTGTTGTTTGTTTGTTTTTTCTGTTGTTGTTTTTTCGGTTCAGACTTACGATGTATCATCGTGACTCACATTATGTATATACACGTCATAGGAAGCGAAGAGTTCATCATATGCTATTTTCGGAGATGAATTCGGATATCTGCAAGTTTACCTTATCATTGTACATTATCTATGAGGTTTTCACTACGGGCACCGGCTGCCAAAATTCTTGATTGGTAGAATAACACCAACATACAAGTTGTCCGTTGTAAGTGGCATGTGTCGATATATAACAGGAAGTCGTCTGTAATAGCTCAATCTATAGAACTATTTCATTTTACTGGCCCCTGGTTTCTAATAATTGGTTTGTGGTTGTCCAGCCGTGCATCATTGGGGATTTGCTTTAGCGACCAAAATAAATCTGCTTCACCCATTACAACATTTGGGATCTTTATCTTTATTTCTACTTCTAACAAACTTTTATTTCCTAGCACCTAGCTTGTCAATACCTCACTTCTGGCTTTAATGTTGAGCGTTCGCCCAGGTTAGTAAGGTAATGGCCAGGACATACCAGAGTCCTTAAGACTTTGTAGTTGTTGATCCTAGCTTAACGTTCAGCATTGTGGGTAACGGCAACAACTGGGGGTTCACCCGTAATCAGTATAATGTGACCGGGCTGAATGCTGTGCTGGGTGCCTTCGGCATGGTGTTTCAGGGAGAAAGCACTATAAAGTAGGCATCAGATCCGCGCTATCAAAAGGAGTCAAGAATCCCAACATACCCTGTCGCCAGCATACATACACATTTACACGCTTACACAACACACATGGAGGCACGTCCTTAGATGTTAATAGGACGTTTAACGAAATAAAACTCCTTGAATAAATAGTAAGTTGGTTTGCCATATTGGTTTGTCCTTAGATAATGTTGCCTTACGTTGTTTTGTGTTAATGTTATTCTGCCACTTTGTTCAGCATCTCCTTGTATGTCCTACCACTTACTTAATTGACATAACTTTGGTTAATGTTGTCTACATATTTTCTTGGGATCTCTCCAATTGCTTTATTTTTGTTTGATATTTTTTCGTCGAGCGTTGAGTGCCTTCCTAGCTCTATCGTCTCTCTCAGCGTTGTCTGTGCGATACTGTTATTTGTTTTGCTCATATTTTTTATCAACCCACACATAGTTCGTGAAGTAATTTCTAATGCTCGGTGCATTTTCTTTCTTCAAAATACCAAGGTATATTTAGATTTGTGAATTTATGAACAAAATAAACCCGTGTTTTCTTATACAGAGGTAGCTTAAGGAAAG